TAAATTTTGATAGGTAGTTGAACTGTGTAAGCATAACTTGTTACATTAAGATAATAAAACTTCGAAACTACTCCCCCCCTCCTAAGTCACTTTGGCTTTGTCCTAAGTCAAACTTCTGTAACTTTGACAGTATTTTCGAAAAAATATAATAACATCTACAAGTTTAAATAAATGCAATATCAAAACATATTTCATAGAGAATTTAATGGGACTAATATGATGACGTAGATCAGGGATGGATTCACCAGCGAGCTCTGGTGGCCTCCAGAGCTCCAAGCCGGCGAGCACCCCACCCCGGTGTGCCTCTGCCCTATGCCTGGCCATGTCCGACTTCTGTTGGACCGTGGCTAGGGCCTTGTTTAGATTGCAATTTTTTGCAACCTGGACACTGTAGCACGTTTCGTTTGTATTTGACAAACTTTGTCCGATCATGGACTAACTAGGCTCAAAAGATCCATCTCGTGATTTACAACCAAACTGTGTAATTAGTTGTTTTTTTTACCTACATTTAATGCTCCATGCATGCGTCCAAAAATTGATGTGATGGAGAGAGAGTGAAAAAACTTGGAATTTGGAGCTGATCTAAACAAGGCCTAGGCCTAGAAGGCCAAGTACTGGAGTCCAAGCGAAAGGCGAATACTGAACAGGACTCTGAATACAAACATGAATCTGAGTGCGTGTGAATGATTGCTAACCATGTAGTGACCTAGGGTGAGATCTTCTGTTGTGTTCTGTAAGTCTTCTTTCTTTGTTGTTTTAGTCAAACTCCGCAGTACAGAAACGGAAAAAAAGAAAAGGCAAGTGAAATTGAGCTATTCTATTCACTTATTGTCGATTTGATTCTCCTTGTAGTTGTAATTCGGCAATTAGCTAATGATTCATACTTTAAGTAGTTTGATTTAGGACAAAGCAAAAGTGAACTATAATCGGAATGGAGTATTAGCTTTGCCACAGCTAGCAAGACAGTGGAAATTGGTGATTAGTACCATTTAACAACTGAGCGCTAATACGAAAATTCACTAGACCACATCCCTAGGCAAACAATGGACTCTGAATATAAGTAAAAAAAATTGTCATGCCAAGAAAACTAAATTTCTTCCACTTTCTCTTGCTCAGAGTCATAGGTAATTTCTTCACGTATGCCCCTCGAGAACAAATCTATGGAACACAAATAGCATCACCGCCACAACACAAGAGGGCGGAGCAATCTCAAACCCTAGTACGATAGCTTGGCAGGGAGATGGGCGTACCCAGCCGAGCGGGCGGGCGGAGCGCGCTGAGGCGGGAGACGGCAGTGTCGGAGAGGCGGGTGGCGGTGCCGCGGAGGTGCTCGAGGATGCGGCGGTCCAGATCGGCTACCTCTCTCTCCAGCTCCTCCACACTCTCCAGCTCCTCCCCCTCCGCCTCCGCCGGAGCCTTGCGCTTGCGCTGGTTGGGCGCGGCTCCAGTTTGGCCTGGCTCGAGCGAAACGCCAGCCATGGTGGATTTTGTGAGGTAGAGGCACACGCCGCGCACGGGCCGGGGCCGACGAGGGGAGCGCAGGCGCGCAGCGCAGCGGATTTCAGTTTGGAGAAGGAGCGCAGGGTGCGGGCGTGCGACTTTGCGAGCAGATAGGCCCCGTTCAAATTAGGGGCTTCCGATACGTGGGCCCCAGATGGGTTAGGTTGGCCGTTCAGTAGGGTGTTTTTGGTTCCTCGCCTTCTTTTTCTTCCTGGCCAGGCTCAATGGAGCTAATTTGCATTTGCTTGGTAGCCTGAACATCCAAGTTAGGCCCGAGTAAGCCCCCGAGGAGTTTTTAGCCAGGTTTTCTGAGATGCAAGGAGTCGATGCCATCGAGGGCAGGACTAGCGCCCGGACGTACCTCCGCTTCCGGACGCCTGCACCAACACCTACTGCACGCACGCACGGAGCCTGCCCCGCCCTGCTCCTTCACGTTTTCCTGCTTCCCGCGCCCCTCCATGCTTGCTGCGCCGCTGCTCTCCGTGCATGGCACCCCAGCAGCTGCAATTAGTGGTTGCGGCAAGTGGCTCACATTGCAACATGCACAATGTCTCTGTTCTATTTTTGAAATATCCAGATGAAACAGGTGCAACTTACGTATGAAACAGCTGAAACATTTGAAACATGAGTCAGAAATACTTGCAAAAGCACCTGAAAAACACTTGAAAACCATTGTAAACATATGCAACATTAAGATAAAAACACTTGTAACATATGTGTGAAACATATATGCAACATCTAGATATATACACTTGCAACATACGCATGAAAAAACAGAAACGTTGGGAACAGACACTTGCAACATACGTGTACAACCATTGCAACATATGCAACATCTCGATCTACTTTTGCAACATCCGCATGAAACACTAACAACATACATCTGAAACACTTGAAACATGCACTTGCAACATATGAAGCACAACATTTCCTTGCTGCTTGGAAGAATGGAAGCTCGTTGGCGTGTGGAGTTCATCGGAGGCAGCGGCCCAACAACGCTTGTAGGCAGTGGGCCGGCAGTAGCAGTTGTGTGAGGCGGCAGGGAGGCAAAGGGCAGCCGCGACTCGGAGGCGGCTGCGCACTGTGCCTGGTAGGTAGGGCCGATAGTTCGATGGCCGAGCGCCGCGCCTGGCAGGCAGGGCCGAAAGCCGAGCGCCACGGCTCGAAGGCAGCCGCCTGTCCCGCCTAGTAGGCAGGGGCGGCTGTCTAGTGGCCGAGCATTGCTCCTCGGAGGCGGCGGGTGAGCGGATAGGTGCGACGAGTGGATAGGAGCAATGAGTAGATAGGATAGACGAGTGTTTTTTTAGAAACGGACGAGGGGATTTGAGGAGGTCGTTGGGCCGATACGCTGCGCATCTGAGAGCTGCGTGCGGGTTCGTCCCGACCTGGACGGACGACCTATAAGGAGCATTACCGTACCACCAAGCCTGGTTTGTCCGGCCGCTGAATTCGATTCGCCCTCACTGTGTGCTCTCAACCATTGACATCGTCTTTGGTCCACTAGCTGCTGCCTCGAGCTCCATTAGAAATGGCAATGGGTTCTATCCTCGATTTCGTGCGAGAAATTTTCCAATTAGAGGGCGAGAATGGGTAATTTAATCCCCACAATAATTAAAAATGAGAAAATTAGTCCCCATGGGTTTGGGTGGACAGGGATGGGAGAGCCATCCCCCATCCCCGTTCTCCACGTTCCCACATCGTAAACTCGTTTTTTAGCCTCTTGTGTAAGTTGTTCCCGACATGCTTGGAGGGCTTGGGAATGGTACGCTAACAACCCCCCCCGACGATCTATTTGGAGTTTTCCTCAGTTTGACATGTTAAAATTCAACAGAAAAGCTCAACACATGACCAAGCTACATCCTAAAATAAATGTCTCTTATAACATGAATTTTTGCTTGTTTAATTTATATTTATTTAACACCATGAATTTGTTTTGCTCTTTAAATGTTGCATTTTACAACGGGGATTTGTTCCCCGAGGGGATAAATTCTCCGAGCGAGGACGGATGGGAGAAAAAGCTCCCCATGAACGTTCACGAGGATGGGGACGGGGATTAGGAGTAATCCTTTGACGGGGAATTCCCCATTGATATCCCTAGGGTCCACCCTCCACCTCGTCTCTACCCCACCGAGCTTCGTCTCCACCCGCCGCTCTCGCGCCTCCATCTCCACCCCTACGCGTCGTTTGCCTTCGCCACGCCAGTCACCGCCTGGATTCACCCTGGACCTCGTCTCCAACCCACCGGACGCCGCCCTACATCTCGCCTCCACCAACCGGGCGCCACCATCCACCTCGCCTTTCCTTGCCGAGCTTGTCTCCAACCTGGCTCACACCCTAGGTGTGTCTGCACCATCGACCCTTGGATCTGTGCTTCGACGCAAAGGGAGAAGTGGTCCTATCTAAGCTGGCCAAGGAACCAAACATGATTCAGACAAGCGAGGCTTCACTAGTACAAGTAAACTAAACACAAGCCTCTTGCATTACTGGAGCAGCTAGCCAGGCTAGTTCGGTGTTCTGGCCACTTGAGCTATCTCTATACTCGCGGGAGGATTTTGAGTTTGGCTGTGATTAAGCCTCGTTTGACAGCGTTTCTGATTTTACGAGAATCGGCAGATAAGAAATGCTTCGCTCGAGAGGGAGATGGGACTACACCGCTTTTGGTTATGATCTCTATGGCCCCGTTCGCTTCGCTGAAAAAATAAGCCGAAATACTGTTCCAGCTGATTTGCTGTGAGAGGAAAACACTGTTCCGGCTGAAATACAAGCTGAAAAGTACGGATTATAAGACAAGCGAACATGGCCATTGACGCAAAGCTTTCAAAGGCGATGCTCCGCAAAATGAGTCTTGGAGACCCTGCATACTAGAATTCAGTTCAACAAAAAAAAAGCAGCAGATAGATAGCCTGATCATTGGTTGGTTTCTGGGCTGATAAGCCCGGCTGGTGCTAATTTATTGTGAGAGAAAAATACTGTACCATGACTGATAAACGCTGGCTGAAACCAACAAGCGAACATGCTGAGAATGACTGGTGTAGATTTTTTTTTTCTTTTGAATAAATACGTTGGATCTTGGATGTAGGAGTAGTACTTAACAGATACAAGTCACCGGTTGATTCGTGGGAGGACCACACATAGACCACCAGGAACGTTTTGTCTGTTTGGTGCCTTTGGTGTTGACGTGCCAGCAGAATTAAGCCGGCAACAGGCTCGTCATCAGGTTCAAGCTATAAACTGCACCGATGGATTTTTGCAAAAATATTCCACCCTAAAGCTATCCCCGGAATTTGTAGCAAACACTCTACCCTCAATAAGTGCGCATATCCCTCTCTATCTCGTTACCTTTGCTTTTTTAAACAGAAGCAGGCACCCAAATCTTGAATTCGTCCTCTAATAATTCGACTAAGACAGGAGAAGTAATTCCATGATAGCATCAGTACAGTGGCACAACTTTCAGGGAGTATTCAGCGTAGTGGAGACACTAGTAGCATGACAGCTACAGCCTACAGGTGCAGTCTCAGCTGCATCAAAGCGTCACAGTTTAATGTATAGCACCACGCAAATCTGAAGCTTTGGCAAATATGGGATGTGTTGAGGGGAAAAAATATGAACTAAATGTGAATGTTACCATCTCCACAAGAACGAGAACCATAAACACATCCTTCAACTCTGCAACTGCAAGAAATCCTTCAACTCTGCAAAACTTCAGGGAGTATTCAGAACAGCATTTGCTGTGCCGAAGCCCAGCTGAATCACAAGTGTACATAAACACATCAAAACTTCAAGGAATCCTTCAACTCTGCAACTGCAAGAACGCTGCGGCTGAAGGCAGCAAATCGGCAAGAAATTTATTTTCGTCTGATCGAGCTCGATTACGCTATAACGAACCTACTTAATTACATCCATCCATGATCCATGCGAGTCGACGGCGTGTATAGCATGTATGTACATTTATCAACTGTACTAAAAGACGTGTGGAGCAATTACCAGTTTAATTTGCCCCTCTTCCAAAGGCGCGCGGCGAGCGGCGAGAGTACGTGTGGTATGCCGTCAAGCGGCCGCGACCGCGACGACGCGCACCGCGGCCGTCGGCGGCCGGGAGCCGGCGGCGTGCCGCGCGGGCGCGAACCTGGCGCTGAAGTCCGGCTCGTGCTCCTCCAGCTCCAGGCAGCCGTCGTCGAAGTTCTGCGCGTAGCTGAGCGGGTCGTAGTTGAGCCCGCCGGCGACGAGGAGGGAGCGGCCGCGCCGCCGCCGGAGCCGCACGAGGCTGAGACGCTGCCGGAGCCTGCGCCACAGCGCGGCGGCGCCGAAGCGGCCCCAGCAGGAGGCCATCGCCCCGTGGTACGCGTCCACGTCCACGTCCGCCTCCCCGTCCTCGCCGCACTCCTCCAGCGCCGGCAGCCTCCCCGGCGAGCCCGGCGCCCACATCTGCACGAAAAGCAGATAGAGAGCGCGCGCGCAACTGTCTTTGGCAAGTGATGACTGATGTGTGTGTAGCTGGTTGATTGGCTTGGTCTCGGCAGATGAGGCGGATGGGAGAGCGCGGAGGGAGGCGGGAGCCGTGGGATGCGAGGCGGACGGCGGAGATGGGGAGGCGCAGCGGGCGCCGTGCGTGATGAGATCATGTGCTGCTCCCCGGGCCCCGGCCTCGTCGGCACGTTCCGTCGTGCCAGCGGGATCTCGGCTGACGTGGGGGCTGGCACGGTCCCACGGCGATTTTTTTAACACTTTTTTAAAACTAATTTAAAATCTAACACTGTTTAAATTTTATTTCCAAAACTAACATTTTTTTACCGCGCCTATTTCCATGACGCGGCGAAACGCCTGTGCCGCACCATGCATGATGGCGCGGCAAGAGACATGACGTGGCGACGACCCAGACGCTGACCGGTGACGTGGCAGGACTACCGCGCCACGGATCTGGACACAGCACTGCTACGCCACGGCGCATGGTGCGGCGAGCCACGGAAGGTGCAACAGCAGGGCACTACTGTGCCTGTGCCTACTGTAGCAGCCGATGGAGACGCAACAACAAGACACTACCGTAGCAGCAGGGCACTACTGTACACAACTGCAGGGACGCAACTGCAGGTGCATGTTGCTCCGAGCGTGCAACCATGGGCTTCCACGTCGGTGGAGTGCATGCAACTGCATGATGCTTTGCAGGTGAAGAGACATGCTGCTCCATCAAATCACCTGGCCTCTAGCTATGTATTGTATGTATATTCGTTCTTTTAACAGGAGCAGATTATATGTTATTATACTATATTTTACTACTTCTGTTTGATATAAGTTCTATGTTCAACTGATGTAAATTGATTATTCATAAATAAGAATGGTCGGCAAACTATTATCTAATCTTTTTTTTTTTTGGCTTTTTCTGATTTTCTGTATGTTTTATTTGATTCCCCTTGAAATTTTCCAATTTGACTTATTGATTGAGCCCTTGTTTAGTTCCAGGAAGTTGGAATTTGGGGCTACTGTAGCACCTTCGTTTTTATTTGGCAATTAGTGTTCAAATATGGACTAGTTAGGCTCAAAACGTTCGTCTCGCAATTTTTCACCAAACTGTGCAATTAGTTTTTTTTGTCTACATTTAATACTCCATACATGGACCGCAAACATTTAATGTGATGGGTAGTGTAGCATTTTTTTGGATTTTAGGTGAAACTAAACACGGGCTGATTTGTATTCAGGGCACAATGTCACTGTCCACTCAACCAAACTACGTGGTCAATCAGTCAATGAATAAGACTCAGCTGCCAGGCTGGTTCAGGGCCCACACGGAAAGTGATGGCCTAGCTTATGGGTCTGATAATAGTTCAGTTTTCTAGAATTCACTATGTACTCAAATATAGTTCAGTTTTCTAGACTTTACTATGTACTCACTAGCAGATTTTGATAGGATATTTCTCAGATTTGTTGTATATTTGCATTATGCAGTAAAAAAGTAGGGTACTGTAGACTTGGTACCATGGTACATAGATGATGCTAATCTTTAGAGTTTAAAACATTTGCAAAATTTAAGATGAATAGAAAAAATAAATTTTAGAACTTTATTTTGAAACCTCTCACTGCATTTCATGCGTTGTGCGATTCACATGGTATATGAAAGTTTTAAGGTGAGTAGCAGCTGTTGACTAAAGTACACCAAAACTAGCACCACTTAGGGATGGTGGGGAGACCTTTTTTATGATCTCAACAAACTTCTATGCGGGTCTGATTCACAATTAGGAAGGCAAAAGGCACCATTTGGTAAAGAATAATGTTTCACATGTGGTGTACTGGTGTTGTGTGGGTTTGCTGAGATTTGACATGAACAGCTTGTTCGCTTGTTGGTTTGAGCCAGTCCAAATCAGCCAGCTAATAGTGTTTTTCTATCAGCCCAAACCAGCACCAACCAGCAAACAGGCCCGAAAACTGGGATTTGACATGTAAACAACCTCTAGAGAGAAAAAGAAGCCCTGCTGAATTGGCTTTCGTATTTATCCTGATTCCTAACAGAGACTTAGAGTATGACTCTTTGAGTACTGATGATATGTTGGGGTTTTTTTAACGGTTGAGAAATATCTATATATGGATGCTTACTAGAAACAGAGAAGTCTGTTAAAAATTAGTTTCTGATATATTATATCTTGATTGCTGGAAGAGTTGCTTTTCCGCGGAGCTACTGTCACTTGGTTGCTCAATTTTACGCTTTGTTTACTGACCATTGAAAATTCTCTACCCATGGCGCGAGTGATTTTGGGAGTCGTGACACTCTAGTGTTGGATGGCGCCCCAACACCTGATCGGCAACAGATAAAAAATCGAGTGATTCTGGTCCATACAACACTTGATTTTCATGACCCCTGGATCTAGATCAAATAAACAAAAAAAACTATCCAAACAACACAAATAAATAACCATATTATTTTTATGTAAGTCAAATTGGAAAATATCAAAGGAGAACCAAATAAAACATAAAGAAAATAAATAAAAAACCACAAAATAGCCAGATTATTTGCATGGAAGCTAAATTGGAAAATTTCAAAGGGGAACCAAATAAACACATACAGAAAATCAGAAAAAACCAAAAAAAAGATCAGATAATAGTTTGTTGACTATTCTTATTTACGAATAATCAATTTACATCAGTTGAACACAGAACTTACATCAAACAGAAATAGTAAAATATGATACAATAACATGTAAAACAGAAATAGTAAAATATGATACAATAACATGTAATCTGCTCATATTAAAAAAATAAATATACATACAATACATAGCTACAGGCTAGATGATTTGATGAGCAGCATGTCTCTTCACGTGCAAAGCAGCAGGCAACTGGATGCACTCCACCGACGTGGAAGCGCATGGTTGCACGCTGGTAGCAACATGCACCTGCAGTTGCGTCGCTGCAGTTGTGTGCACTGCTGCTACAGCAGTGTCTTCTTGTTGCGTCTCCATCGGCTGCTACAGTAGGAACAGGTTGCCTCGCCATGCGCCGTGGCGCGGCAGTGTCGCACTCAGATCCGTGCCGCGACAGCCCCTGCCACGTCACCGGTCAGCGTCCCGGTCGTCGTCATGTCATGTCTTTTGCCGCGCCACCATGCATAGCGCGGCACAGGCGTTTCGCCGTGCTATGGAAATAAACGCGACCAAAAGTGTTAGTTTTAGAAATAAAATTTAATCAGTGTTAAATTTCAAATTAGTTTAAAAAAGTGTTAAAAAATCCCCACGACGGGGGCACGGTTTTTCAGGTCCCGGAGTGCAAGCAAGAGATTGGCCCGTTCGCTTATCAACTAGAATCTACAGTACTTTTCTCTCACAGCAAAACAGTTTCAGTCGGCTTTAATACCAGCCGAACAGACCGCGTCTGCTGTGACCGCATGGGCTCGAATTGCGCTCGAAATCAATACTAGTATACTCGAACGTTGGAATTTTTGACAGCCGATGATGATTGCCTGTCACTCAATCGCCAGCATCGAAATAGAAACATCATATAAACTTGTGCTTTGAGCTAGAACAGATCAACCAGTTTCGTTACTTCGTTTTTGCGGGTAACTTTTTTGTATCTGAGCATTGCAGATCCCAAGCTATGGTTTGCAGAAGATCCCTTTCAGAGTTGGAACAAATCCGGCATACTCCTACTAGTCGATCTGGTATCATGTGGTCCGTACAAATTTGAATAGTTCGATAATTACCCATGGTCCGATCAGCCGATCACAGATCCAGTTCTGCCACTTCATATGTTCTGCCTAGAACGTACGTGGTTGTCTCTACCTTTTTTTTTTTTTGAAACGAGGAGGATTTTCCCATTCCCATTGTAACCAAAGGGCATACTTGCTGGGCACCGGGTTCGAGTCCGGGTGGCCGAGCTCACAACTGGAGCGAACGTAATACCGATTGCCAATGACTATCTCTGTTTGCTATGAAATATACAATACAATTCTAGAATATTGTTAGTCAAACAATTTTCTATTTAACCAAAGTTATAAAAAAATATTACAAAATAAGTATCACTAGATTTTCTATATATTATATTCATACTATACCTTTTTTAATCATAAAAAACAATATTATTTTTAATAAATTTAGTTAAACTTACGATAGTTTAACTTGAACGGGACTTTAAATTGTCTCTTTTTTTAGACTAAGGTAGTAGCACGTACATAACTCAATGCCACACTCTCCTTTCACCCCCCTGCAGTTTATACAACTGGCGCCTCCCACCATTTCTTTTGGGTAGAACGTCCCACATGTATTCTATCAAAAAAAACGTCCCTTTCCTATCTTTGCAATTGACTAAATTCCCTGTGATTTTGCTCTAGCAAGTCATGGCATAACTTAATTTTAAAAGAAAATTCCTTCATTGTCATCTAAATATATACCTTTTCCTTCAATGCCATCCGAAATTATAAGTTCCCTTCAATCCTGTTCGTTCAAATTTCCTAATTCATTACTCCCTCAGTCCCAGAATTAAAGTCGTTTGGGAATGGACACGGTACCAAGACTCGAGCAAAAATACCAATGTATCCCTACTCTGTATGGTGGACACAGGATTTCTATCTCTTGCGCTCCGCTTTCCCATGCATGGTGCAGCTGGCTGCAAATTACGGTTGAGAGTGCTGCTGCTGGTAGGCATAGGACCTGCACCCTAAAACGACATTTTCATTGGGACACGGTTTAAATGCTAAAACGCCACTTTTACTAGGACGAGGGAGTATGTACTATGTTTGTCTGGTACCCCTTAATTGTGACGCAAGAGGACAATTATGCCCCCTCTTTCTTTTTCCTTGCATCAAATCCCACATCCGTGCCTTATCCTTCTTTTGAGGCGGTGCTGCCTGCGCGCTGCTCCTCCACGCCATTTTATTTGGCCTGCCTTTGCTATTGAAAAAGCTAATCTATGTTCATTACTTGGAAACGTACGGGTCATTGGAT